CAGTGCAAGATTATCATAAACGGAAAATTCAGGTGAATTACAGGAGAATCTTCCAAATTAACTCGCAAAATACGAGTAATTTGGCGTTCACGTACACAGTAAGCTTGATGGAAATGGGGGAGCCAAGCCTCTATGATGGACTCTATGGGGGGAGGGTGGCAGAAACCGGTGGTTTGCTGTTACACCCTATGAGTAGTATCAAAATTATTCGAGCATCTCATCTTTCTACTCCTACAAACCCTCAAGTTGAATGGATAACCTCCTGTGGCAGTCTCTTAGGCTCATTTAAAACGTTTATGCCAGGTGTATTTCCTGCAAACTCGTATCAAGAAATGGCATTTCGTCGACTTAATATACCATAACAATAATAAACTAATATCACATCTGCATAGTCCAAGTTTGTACAAATTCATATTGTCGTGCGGCATTCTGCTGATAAACGCAACCAGCTATTGTTTTCTCCAACCGATGCGATAGTTTTCTTCAGCTCACTCTCAACCTTTGAATTCGTTTGGACCACAAAACTACGGAGACCTACATAAGAAATTAAAACAAGCAACAGTAGTAACAAAATCATTGTTGATCACCGACATTAGAGGTACGCTCATTTCTCAGCTAAACTAAACCAAGCACGAGGGGGCTAAACATCTAACCACAAAGCATGCTGACGGCATCTCCTCAGATTTTAATGAAGCCTTTGTAAATCGCTGGCCAAAGTCATCAGACAGACCAACCACGTGTTCACAGTGCTTCGGTATGGCTTGAAGTTGTCCTGATCTCGCACCATAGCTGTGCTGTAGTGCTTCGGTATGGCTTGAAGTTGTCCTGGTCTCGCACCATAGCTGTGTTGATTCAAATATCCCAAAGGAGAATTTCAGAGGACCGGGGGAACGAGCCTCATCTGTTAGTATTATTATTGTCATCCAAAAAAGGGATACCATATCCTCCACAACACTAAGATATCTGGCAAAAATCAACTTAGCCGACTGTTTAACATCAGAAAACGTGTTAGCAACATAGCTCGCATTCTGACACGAGGCCCGCGCTATTAAGAATGAAGACCGGTTTTGTTGTTTCACATGATGAAAGTGCTTCTCTGGTTTGAAATCATGCACAGAAAACATGTAAGCTTTCGAAACCGTCCCACTACAACTGCTGAAACTGATGCAGACCGACAAACTGACAAATTGAGCATAAGCTTGCTTTTCTGTAAAGCCATAGGATAGGTTTCCATGAGATAATTTCGAATTTCTAACCCGCTTCATGGAGGAATTTGTACGCAAAAATCCGTCCATGAGAACTGGTGGCCTAGGATGTCTACAGTCTAGTGCACTTGTGTTTGGCCACATATTCGCGAAGATCTCATTCCGCTGGCGGTCTCAACTCACCAGCCATTGTCTTAAACTCAGAACACATGGCGTCATTTTTTGCAATAATCCGCTCGGTAGCAGATGAAACTTTGAATGATAGATGTTCTATCAAGGCTTCTTCCTGTTATATCGCTGATTCTGGTATCTGCTGCTGACCCACTGCAGTGTCCAGTGCCTAAAAGAAAGGCGCACAGAAGGGAATACAACAGCTATTTTCCGAAAAAGCGAGTGCGAGAGCAAAACTTACAACGGCCCCACGCTATTTAAAGGGAACTTTCTGACATTGATCCAGGCTGTCCGATAGGTGTTAGTGAACACCCGTCAACGTCGATCGTGCCTCTATGAAATGCCTGAACGCTGATCACATTCGGTCGTGCTTCTGTGGAGTGCATGAGGACTCACTGGCTTTTGCTGAATTGATTGAATGATTGACTGGCCTGGATGCTTGCCAGCTTTCCTGTTGAGATTTTGATGGAACAGTAGGCTCCGGGGGTTCTGAGGTTACTCTAGGAATCTGGCCTTCCTGATACTTTTATTTCTAAGTTATCGGTTCGAGCCACGAGTGTTACTGCATCAATTCTGTTTTGGGATTGCCACAAATCGTGACGTCTCTCTCTCACTGGCAGCGTAACCACCAGTTGACGAGCCTGTTTCAGCTGCCCACGCTATCACTCACTTGACCAAGCTGCAGCACTTCTCGCAAAAAGAGAGTATGCTGAAGTTGTCGGCCTCTTTGAAAGCAGCGTGGCTCACGAATGGAGGTGCTTGCTACCAATCTAACGGTGATAGTGTGATAGGAGAGGCATGCGAGTAGTATGTTTTCTCCTTGTAAATTCGCTTTGCGTCTCTTGAAAAGTGAGATCTATTGCGGAATTTGTGGAGTCGCTTCGTAGCATTTGCTTGGATTTGAGCAACAGGCAATGAATGAAAGTTCAAGGAGACGCGTTCAAGGGAAGCTGGATGTTTAGTTTTTGTAAATAAGATGCATGTGAAAGTTTTGCTTCCCTGTCCAATAGTCTGTAACTGGTCAATTGGCATTTTCTAATAAATAACTCCGCAGCGAAGGCCTTCCGTCTTTCACTAGTATCCTGGTTCTTTACAGATGTTCATAGTGAGGCATTCGGGTTAATTTATTTTTACAACGAAGACGAACTGGGAGGAACAGTCGACTGCCATTCTTGGACGTTCTAGTGAAGAGGAAATTGGATGGAACTCTGGAAACCTGCGTATACCGGAAAGAGACACATATGAACCGAAAACTGAACTACAACGGTAATCATCCAATGAACCACAAGAAGAGCTATGTCCAAACCCTGTTCAAGAGGGTGGAAACGCACTTCAGCACCACAAAATTACGGAAGAAGGAAGAAGACTATCTGTTCAGAGTGTTCCAGAACAGTGGATATCCAGGGAATTTTATTAGGAGAAGCTTGAAGAAGAAAACGTCTCAGCACCAGCAACAGCGTGAACAGGCAACCAGACAGGTAGTTCTACCATACATCCAGAATACATTTGGACTCACAACCAGATTAGTAGCCCAAAAAGGAATCGTACTGGCCCAGAAACCGGATGCTGCGTTGAGGAGTCTGATCTGCAGACTGAAGGACAACCGAGACAAAACCAAGAGGAACAATGTGGTATACCAAATCAACTGCAACAAATTCTACGTTGGATAAACTTGGACAGAATTATGCATACGAATAAAGGAACACTATGCGGCTGTTTGGAGACATGACCCCCTATCCTTGATACCCATACACGGAGACTAAGAGGGCCACAAACTCAGCATACCCATACACGAAGACTAAGAAGGCCACAAACTCAGCCTGGAAAACGTGTAAATTTTGGTTTAGGGAGACACGAGACACGGAAGGGAATTTCCGGAAGTATGGTACTCCACAATTGATTCGATCAGTCGATACATTGAACTGGACCCAATTTACGCACCACTATATCCAAAGGACCAAATTCTGCCCCGGATTACTCAAGGAGAGCCAAATATCGGATTCACAAACAAAGAAGCAATGAACTCCTTTGCGTCGGATCAACAAAGTTCGCAAGCCAGAGGGGTTAACGACAGAGCTCACTCGGGCATTGATCAGAACACGAGGACAAAGGAGGCCAGGCTGAAAGGTCACGTGGTCATGGATCAGTACACAGGATGGCAGGGCAATCAATGGAACCAACCGACCGAACAACTAATCGTGGTCGAAGGTCAGTCCCGGCTGGCAGTATCTATATTAACATACAAAACACCAGTCAAAACACAACCACCGACCAATCGCTACGCTTCACTACACTGTCTTACAACGCACCAATGACGTCACCCACTTGATTCCTCTTGTTTTGATTCGTGACTCACTCTCATGTAACGTTATCGATTGAACAGAGCAGTCTAATTGGCCTTGCGCCTCAGATACCAACTGAATGGGTATTAGACAACAATTCATATTTAGCCAGCTGTAGTCAAGCCGTGATCCTCAGCTTGCTGTAGTCAGAACAGAAGGCGGGCATTGAAAACTATTCACTCTCCACCAGGTCAATGCTATTTTCATCTACGGCTTCACAGTAGACCTTCAATCACAAAATGACGGATGGAATTCAGACACATTTTGCTTGCCATTCAGAATGCTGTCTTAGGAGCGACTAACGCATCTCACTGACCCATCGTCAACGTGTCATGACCTGATCGATAGCCATTTTGTTTGGATATCAGAAAAGACCAGTTAACGTAAACGTGAATATGCACGTTTCTGACATGCAGAAACCATTTGTCTCGAACTCCTTGACTCACCATATACGTTAGCTCCTATCAGATCAAGTCAAGATTGCTCACCTTGGAAATCACACCATACTCTTTGGGTTTCCGTCCCTTGGGCCACCACAATACTACCAGAAAAACTCCGATTGACTAACATTGATTGGTCAATCAAACTTCGCCTGACATACCTGTTATCCTTGTAAAGCCTCGATAAAACCCATTCATACGACCATGTATCCGTTGGTAGTGACGGGGCATATCAATGATTAGAGAAATTGCCAGGCAGCCCAATTGCGCACACTACGGCGCTCGTGCATCTAAGTGACTGCCTTCACTATACAGCTCTCTTTTCAACCCTCGACTCCCCCAATTAAATGTCCGCTAACAGACCTGTATTCACGCCCGAATTTATCAGCTCTTGTCTCCAACGCGCAGCTACCTACCCCATCTTCCCAAATCATTGGTGGAAGTGTGGCAGCTACAACCACTGCACAAGTACGCAGTTCTTACAGCGGATAGTGATGGTGACGATGATGACGATGATGATGATGATATGGAGAAATTAAACAGCAACCCACAGACCTGTTATGTCAGTCTCAAGAGGAAACGTTTGTTATGCGGTGCATTTACTAAATTGCAAAAGCCAATCAAGATGAGACAGGCATAAACAATGATGCGTAAAATGTCAATAAAACAACTAAAATTCTTCTGCTTGTGTTTGGAAGTTCTAACTCATAAAACTCAACCATGAAAGGATGGATCTAAATCAATATAAAATACTAATGCAGATTTTAAATTTGTTCGTTCCAAACATGAGAGATCCTTATGACAAGGACGAAACCGCACAGCCGTCAGAGTTACCGAAAAATTCATAGATCAAGGCGTCGTATGCGGCAAAGGTCTTCCATAATTCTCTCGGTCAACGCACGTTTGAGTAACACCCGCCTAAGTAACAGTGTTTTGAGTTGTCGATAAACCAGCTGAGTTGATATGTTCTTCAGATTGGTGGCTAGGTGATACAATCTAAAGGGATTAGGTTCTCGTGGTGAAGTGGATGAACACGCCCGACGACCAGCTTGCGTAGTCCTACAGCAGCAACGTCTCTGCTCTTCTGCCTCACACCAACAAGGGGACTGTTCGCTGCTTTGCGAATCAGAATCATCCGAACAGCAACAGAGAATTTCAGTGTGACAGCAACAAGGCTTTCTCTCTTCACAATCGTGTAGCGCTAACAAATGCTGATTCTCCTCTACGAATTTTTCAATCTCGTCCGAACAGTAGGATGACGAACTTTCGGATCTTTCAGTGATGCATATGCTAAACGTAATGTCATCACTTCTGTCCAAAGGACCTGCCACCCCTGCCGTTTCGACCGAAATTTGATCCGCCTGTCCGAGTTGAACTGAAGTTTCGGTCATTCCGGGATTGGCGCTTTCAGTAAGGGCCCTTGAATTGACATCGTCCGGAGGATTCAGTGTCACAGGTGATGAGCTAGTATTATTCTGCCAACCGTTGTTCCAAGTAACGGAGATCAGCCTGTGGCAGTTTCTTCTGTGTTTCCTTTTCAGCAGATCGGCTGAGTGAGGATGTGACTGTGAGCGCAATTCTAGTCTTTCCAGCTCTTTTATCAGCTTGGCAGAGGCCGAGCGATACTCCTTACACGATTTGGGGGAAAACATAGAAGCGTCATGCAGGGTTCCAAACTTTTTTTGGCAAACCAACCTCCCCCTGACATACCTGTTATCCTTGTAAAGCCTCGATAAAACCCATTCATACGACCATGTATCCGTTGGTAGTGACGGGGCATATCAATGATTAGAGAAATTGCCAGGCAGCCCAATTGCGCACACTACGGCGCTCGTGCATCTAAGTGACTGCCTTCACTATACAGCTCTCTTTTCAACCCTCGACTCCCCCAATTAAATGTCCGCTAACAGACCTGTATTCACGCCCGAATTTATCAGCTCTTGTCTCCAACGCGCAGCTACCTACCCCATCTTCCCAAATCATTGGTGGAAGTGTGGCAGCTACAACCACTGCACAAGTACGCAGTTCTTACAGCGGATAGTTGACGTGACGATGATGACGATGATGATGATGATATGGAGAAATTAAACAGCAACCCACAGACCTGTTATGTCAGTCTCAAGAGGAAACGTTTGTTATGCGGTGCATTTACTAAATTGCAAAAGCCAATCAAGATGAGACAGGCATAAACAATGATGCGTAAAATGTCAATAAAACAACTAAAATTCTTCTGCTTGTGTTTGGAAGTTCTAACTCATAAAACTCAACCATGAAAGGATGGATCTAAATCAATATAAAATACTAATGCAGATTTTAAATTTGTTCGTTCCAAACATGAGAGATCCTTATGACAAGGACGAAACCGCACAGCCGTCAGAGTTACCGAAAAATTCATAGATCAAGGCGTCGTATGCGGCAAAGGTCTTCCATAATTCTCTCGGTCAACGCACGTTTGAGTAACACCCGCCTAAGTAACAGTGTTTTGAGTTGTCGATAAACCAGCTGAGTTGATATGTTCTTCAGATTGGTGGCTAGGTGATACAATCTAAAGGGATTAGGTTCTCGTGGTGAAGTGGATGAACACGCCCGACGACCAGCTTGCGTAGTCCTACAGCAGCAACGTCTCTGCTCTTCTGCCTCACACCAACAAGGGGACTGTTCGCTGCTTTGCGAATCAGAATCATCCGAACAGCAACAGAGAATTTCAGTGTGACAGCAACAAGGCTTTCTCTCTTCACAATCGTGTAGCGCTAACAAATGCTGATTCTCCTCTACGAATTTTTCAATCTCGTCCGAACAGTAGGATGACGAACTTTCGGATCTTTCAGTGATGCATATGCTAAACGTAATGTCATCACTTCTGTCCAAAGGACCTGCCACCCCTGCCGTTTCGACCGAAATTTGATCCGCCTGTCCGAGTTGAACTGAAGTTTCGGTCATTCCGGGATTGGCGCTTTCAGTAAGGGCCCTTGAATTGACATCGTCCGGAGGATTCAGTGTCACAGGTGATGAGCTAGTATTATTCTGCCAACCGTTGTTCCAAGTAACGGAGATCAGCCTGTGGCAGTTTCTTCTGTGTTTCCTTTTCAGCAGATCGGCTGAGTGAGGATGTGACTGTGAGCGCAATTCTAGTCTTTCCAGCTCTTTTATCAGCTTGGCAGAGGCCGAGCGATACTCCTTACACGATTTGGGGGAAAACATAGAAGCGTCATGCAGGGTTGAACCATGTGATGGAGAGAAAACCGACCTGTGTTCTTCACCTGGAATATGGCCTAATTGCGGAGCTTCTTGCCAAACAACCAGATCTGATTCTTGCGGCTGAACAGTTTTGCTTCTAATAGTTGATTGATCCATCGTAGCTCCTGCTTTCTTCTTGGTAGATGGTTCCGGACGTGTACAGCGGATGTGGATTGCGGGACCATGAGGGAGGTGGTTATCTAAATTTATCTGACCTATTCCCACTGGCATGACTATCTTCGCTCCTTTGACCTCTTCACTTGATTTGGTCACCACCGATGAGGGAGATCTAATCTCAAAGTGCAAACAATTTTCAGTCAACTTCTTTGGTGTATTGGGTGCTTTTATTAGATCACCTGCGGATTTTTCGTGCAACGAGAGTGCCTGATATTTCGGATCACTAGAGCTGACTAACTGTTCAGCCGTCTGCTCTTGAGGCGCAAACCTAAAAGGTTCTGGATATTTAAATATCGGTGTGGTCCGTGATAGACGCGGCTCCGGCAATATACTTGTACGCGGATCATGCACGTTATCAAGTTGATGCAACTGTTTATTCATACGGAGATTTGCTCGGCGTGCTCGGGGAGGAAACTCAGACGCACTTCTCAACTTTGACGATGATGGACTTAGCAAACTAGTGTAGGTTGAATTGGAGCATCGTATCAGACCGGCGTGAATGCGTTCCGGAGACATTGCTGAAATGTGCCTGATTTTCTGAACACTGCTGCGATACCTTCCTAGTACATTTCTGCAAGCCTCGATAGCTGTGAGCTTTTGTGGAAGGTTCCAGGTTGACATTTGTCTCTTGGAACATAGTATTTCCAGTAATGAATTTCTTAGAGTGAAGCCTTGATAAAGGTCACTAGGTGCAGCGGTTTGTAAGGAATCTGATGTTGCTTTAACGGGGACGAATCCTGTTTTCGAGTCTTGAACCGCATCCGCTGAGATATCTTGGCCACCTCTGACAGGTGAATCTGGGATAGCCGGTTTGATCTTCTGAGTAAATGTGCTTTTTGTGCTGTCTAAGATATCACTTGCAAGACGAAAAAGAGGGGTGCTTGTTGGGACATATCTATCCAGGTCATCTTTTGTTGCAGCTTCTGAAGCTGCATTTATGGCATCACTTCCAGTATGTGAAGATTCCGTAGACATGTTCGCATCCTCAGGCTTATCGATTAGTGAATGTGCTGTTCGATCGGCGTTCACATCCACTGGTCGTTCATTCTCAATTGCTGAGATCTGTTCACTAATCCGAGTGCTCATTTCTGGCTTCGCATCTGACTGCACTGGTTCCTTCTGCTTAGTTGCGATGTCCGCATTTTCCGCTTGGACACCATCAAGCTCGAAAGACGTAGAAGGCATGGCGTCTGCTTCCTCGAACTTTTTGGAAGGTTTAGGGAAGTCCGAAGTTAGGTCTGGAAAACCTGTCTCAGCTATAGGTAGTGCCAGTGTTTCAGTTAGTTCTTGAACCTCGTGTGCCGCTTCAACTACTTCACTAGGTGACAAAACTCCGTGATCTAACAAGTCTTGTACAACACCGCCTTCCTCGTGATTCAAAACTGACGTGTCTATTTCCTTTGGCGTTTCCATTTCGACCGGCTTGTTCTGAGTGGCAAGCAGCTCATCACGAATTAATTCTTGAGGTGAAGCTGACATGGGACTGGCTGAAGTCTTCTTCTTTTTCTTTTTCTTGCCCTTTTTTCTTTCTTGTCCTACGGGTTGTAGTTTTCCAGCTCGATACTCTTGTTCAAGTTCAACTAGTTTTAGTGCATTTAGTCGCAACTGTTTCATGAGGAGATCCGTATCTTTCTGCGGTCCTCTCAAAAGGAATTCAGCATTCAAGTCGTCCAAAAAGCCCTCGTAGAATGGATCCACATCACTATCCACATCTTCGGGTTTGTCTTTTTGTCGCGCTTTTGCTTTGTCAACAATCGCCGTGTCATCACGGGGAGGATGTTTTCTATTTCGATCCCGACTTGAGGCTTTTTGATCCAGTCTTGTCTTGTCCATACGAGTCTTGTCTTCTTGGCTTTGCGGCAAGTTAGTTAACGGTGTTGATGGTTTTTCTGGGTGCCCGATAGATTGTTTCAGGAAAGAAGGTTTTCGAAACAGCAGCCGCTTATCTGTAGATATTTTCCCTCCACCTGTCTCGGGTGACGTTTTTTGTGTTCGAGGTTTTGTAACCTTTTCTGATTGATGACCAGGTACTCGCCGAGGTTTCAGGTTCTCCAACTTATCTTTTATTGCTTGAAAGCGTGGCATTTTCATTTTATCTTTTATGGGTGAAGTATGGCGACTGACCTGTTCCTTCAAAGAGCCCCAGCAATCTGCCGTTTTAGCATGCGAATCAGACTCGACGTTCGAAGGCTCTATTTCATCCACTTCCGTCGTAGTCGAGGCTGCTTGTGTCGATGAAGTTGGACTACTAGCACTGACCGACGCCTTCCTTCGTTCCTTTCGTTTCTTTACCGAATTTCTGATATTATTTAGAATTTTCTCTGCCGTTTTTGGTATAAGCTTAATAATATCCTCTGGTTTGGCGTTGTTCTGTTCGAACTCCCAAATTACATTCACCGGATATTCAACTGAATAATCTCCAGTTTCCGAACTGACGTTCTCCAAGGATTTTGAGTTTTTCAATTTTAGAAATACAGGAAGTCGTTCTGAATTCGTGTGTTTTGTACTAAACCGATTAAATTCGCTCAGTTTTCGGCGAGACTTGGAAGGGGTGTCATTTGCCACTTTGTGAGGTGATTTGTGGGCCGATGAACTAACTCTCCTGACACTTGAATGGATGCCATATTTTCCTTGAAGTCGTGCCATCTCTCTCTTAGCGACAGAATGAGCGACAACGGGGGCGTAAAACTGCTCTTCCGAGGATGACGGCCTCCATGTACGCTGATGAATATTGCCTCCTGCATTAGTGTTTTCCGTTAACTTCAGTGCCACACCCCTACATCTATGCCCTGCATCAGTAGAAAGTGAAGTTGGCGCTCGTCGATTCATCACGTTATGGCACTTGGTACAGTCATTATGCATTGAACAACTACTGTGAGTTAGTAAACGGGACTTGTGTAAGAGACGGCTAGATAATTCAGCTGAATTGGCATCATACAGTCGGTAGAAACGTGCAGATACTGGCCGTGATCCAATAGGGCTTCGCATTTCCAAGGACCTTCTTGACGTGCAGGTTGAAGGGTTTCGCGCCCAATCATATCCCGTTGGCTGTCGCATGAAATCGCCTGGGGGGGGGGAATAACAGCAAAATTTTGATCGTGCCTCCAATCCTTTCTCGAGGAAATTTATCAGAGTGAACTCTTCATGTGATTTGTTAATATCGATCTCTCATATTTTGAAACTGCGTCTCGTGATCGGCAAGGGGAAATCACCGGATTTATTCAGCATTCAACGATAGACAACCCCTCGTATTGAGACAAATTTTGCGAGTGATGTGGTAAAATCCGTAGAAGCCTCATTGAGAAGCGATCGTAAGAGACAGGAGTAACGAATGGGTGGATAATTCCATGAAGAGATCTGGCACAGTTAAAATACAAGAGATAACCTATATTCACACCCAGATTTGGCATTCTGCCTTTGAGAACAAACTTTCACAGGGTCGGTAAAGCTAGGTGAAATTCATCTATCCCAATTAACTTCATCTTTGGATCGTATTCAGTTACTCACTGTTTCATAGTCATATAGATCCGGACTGAAAATAATCGTTGTACAAAAGCTATTCTATTGATACGAATAAGATTACCGTATTGGTTTGTTGCATCGCTTCTCAACAAGAGGATAGGGTTCTTTGGTGAGGTTTTGCCAACCGCCGAATAAAAGTGTCGCCTAATTTCCCGACTTTCAAGTGTCAAGAAATTAGCAAGCAAAGATTTTCACTAGGCAAGTTTCATTGTAATGCATTTTTTACCTTTCCTGCCACCGCTGAAGACAAAAAGTTTTACTGCCCGACAGAGGTAAAGAAGTTTTGGTACTGTTCCTCATCGAGTTGAAATAAACTGTTGTGTTCGTCATCTTAAGAGGAGAAAAGTGCCAACGAAGATCCAGAACACTGTACTCGTGACCATCGAGAACCGTGAGCATCGTGCATGCTTTGTTCAACACAAGCGTCGGGCAGCATTCGGGTCATTTAAGTGGAATTTCTAACTGAGATCTCCTCCTGAATGTGGAGTTGGTCTACAGGGCAAGACTGTACGGCTGTTTCACCTTTTTTGGAATTACCAGGATTGCGCATTCCACGAAACTACATAGTGTTCCGACCTCTCGGCTAGTAGTTTGAACACCGCTCGACTACCAGTGGCTAACTAGCATTGTGATTAACTTCTAATTGGAAAGGAAGCTTAATTAACAGTGTTTCGTAGTCTCTTGACAAGCAGCACTGTCTTTTGAGACTTTTAAGGAAAGGAAAGAAACGAAAGAATTATGCGACCTCATTAGCACTTTAAACAATGCGCCCTAGATTGAAAAACGTTATTTCTTTCCACCTTTTTGGTGCTACTTGAGTAATCTGCTTTCTATGACAACTTCACGAACTGCACTCAACAACACAATAATTCGGTTTTAACATAATCCCAGCTGAATTCATCGTTTATGATAATCTGCAATCTCCACACGAGTCGGATGAGATGGCTCTATGTGTGTGTGTTTGATTCCATCTTGTTCGGGTAAGATAAGAGTCAGTCAATTTTATACGAATGTAAAAAGCCACAACGTCATCGCAGACATGTTCCTTCATCACCTTTAGTAATGTAAACCAGGAATACCATGCGACATATTCCACAACATAGTTCTGCCAATGCCATTTAGGTCGAAGTGATACCTGGGTGCACTGATGAGTGTTGCGGGCCTTTCATTTTGATTGGACGATGAAACAACCCTGAGGAAGTCAGAGGGGGCCTGCTACGACACAGACCATGGTCTGCGAAGTGATACCTGGGTGCACTGATGAGTGTTGCGGGCCTTTCATTTTGATTGGACGATGAAACAACCCTGAGGAAGTCAGAGGGGGCCTGCTACGACACAGATTCATGGTCAGGGAAAAGCGCACTATTTTACTGTTTCCCTCAAATCTAGAGGTGAGCGATTGTAAGAAGTTAGCATTGCCGATCACCTGACAGGTGTTTTCAGGTGGCGAGGTTGCCACTCTTTCACTCATAACTTCAAACATGGGGTTTGTTATTTCACCCTCGGAGTTTTATTGACTACGTTTACGATGAATTTTCACTTCAAGCGATCTTACTGGGCGACAAGAGCTCGACGCCCTCTAACCTTAGACAAAACCATATCCCCTGTTCATTCTGTGATTTATTCCTTTTTGGTCAGTGAGGACTACAGTTTGGTCACGGACTTTGACAGTCATTCTGTTTTGAACAGACAGCGGTCCTTAATAGACACGACATGATCGCAAAGCTCGGATTGCTAACATCCACGACTGATAGAGTGCATACTATGGGTGTTTTCTCACACAAAGTATTTGGGTAAAAGTCCAGAAAACGAGTGTGTGCCTCTCAGCTATATTGAGAGCTCTTGCACTTTTGCCGATCTGAAAGTCCACAGTTCAGCTTCATGGTGAAATCATTTTCACTCAGATAATCGTAATCTTTTCAAAGTAGCGCATGAAGACAGTGAATGCGACAATATCCGACTTCAGACAATGATCACCCGACAACACGATAAAACCTGAGCATCTGAGACCTACGGTCATTAATATCCACATCAAATTTTCCACGGTTGAATCTCCTTTTCTCTGCTAACTTATTCTCTAATCTCCTTGTACGGAATAACCATAGGGGTGAAATCAGAACCAAATATCAACGGATAGTTTCCAACTCTCCTCACACTATAAAGCATTGCTGAATAGCAGCTAAGAACCATGAGTAGTTAGACGGTGAGCCATTGAAATGGGATATCATGGTTTTTTCCCCTTTTGAAGTCCCAGAATCGGCGTCAAGATTTACTGACTATAGGGGTAGTGTTATGATCTTATAAGAATCGTAATCCAACTCTGGTCTGAGATCACCAAGTCTACCAAGCTTATTTGAATGATGTAACTCTGCGTACCTCGGTCGAAACACAGTCTTCAAGATTTAGGCTTCCTTTTGCCAAGTTAGGCAGTAACCTGGTATTTGAGCAAAAATCCTACTCCAAAAGTCTGTCTAGCATCCGGGGCCGGGAGCCATGATGAATTCCACAGGTCTAGACAAGAAGTCAGGAGGAAAGTCGGCAGGGAAATCTGCACTTGGGACTTTGGACTTTCGAGACATCAATATTGACGCAGACTACAGGATTGTAACAGACAGTAGATGGTTCTGAAGGAAATCACGGGTCTGGTTTTAAAACAAATCTGTTCAGTTACAGCATAAATATGGACGTCCGATCAATAATAACAGAGAGTAGCAATTCGTTGGTCTGTGGGGAACAGTTGTAACAGTAGACGCGGCTGTTTCTTGGACGTAAAAAACAGTACACAATGGAAGCACAGTTTGAAAGAGTTCCTAAACGCTTAACAGCCACTGCAAGCCATAAACAGGACAGAGGGGATTAAAACGATGGGTGCCCACCAGGCGCATACAGCGCCTCAAAACGTCACAGTTCAAGGTGAGTGCCATATCGCATACCTTGTGTGGTCAAGGTGTGGCCAAACTGCGTTACATTCTGCGTGGAACAATCTCGGTCACGTGGCTCGTGACCATATTAGCAGTGTGGTGAAATGGTGACCGTCCCCGATGGACTAACACAAATGCACAGATATAGTGAAGAACAGTGATTACTTAGCCTGAGATAATGTCGAGCTTGACAAAGCATGGCCTGTAGGAAATCAGAGGTCCGTTTATCCCACTTTCTTCATGTTTAGGTTAAAACCCATCATTCGGTTTAGGAAGATTCAAAAAGCCAGGAAAACAAATATGAGCACAAAATCAGTTTTTGTTGACAGTGCTCAGGTTCGAGTTCCAGGACCATCTACAAAAAGAAAAGGAAACGTGCTCAGCATTTTGGTGGGTACGCCTTCTACGTCACCATAAAAAACTAATGTTTTCACATGCTCTGAACTGCGGTTTGAGTATATTGACCGAACACAGGTTTTGTGTTAAAAGAAAAGTGCACTCGCTGCACTGACCAGAAATACACAGGAGCCAACTAATTGGCTTATAAAAGTTCAAATAGTGTATCAGCACACCCACCTCGTTGTTGGCAGCACCTACTTACATGGTGTACCTAGAGGAAACTTCCAACCTGCGTCCTAATCACTTCAGTTTGGCGCATTTGAGCGTTTCAGCTCAACTGTGCCCCATCATCATCATCATCGACAGCATGACATTAGTGTTCAACACCAATGCTTCATTGCCGTACAACCATGATTTATTTGAAAGCCTTATTGTAAAGAAAAGAGTAAATGTGGACGGGGAATGGGCTCAGTGCTAGCTTAACACAATCATTCCGAGGTGTATATACCTCCAGACACTCACTCGGGCGATCTGGATAGAAACTGACAACAAGAACGCCACTGACATCGGTTGGCAGTCATATCTTGTATGTCTCCAACCAGGCACAGTGAGAATCACTCGGTTTCCATCCTGGAAGGCAAGTAGCACCGACAGCACCCAAGTATTTCGTAATCTCCTTCATACTCGTCTGCCAAGTCAAGGGTTGGCCACCTCTCTGTTTACGCCACTCTGAACTGGGCATGGGAAACGGCACTCTCTTCGACAGACTATGGTTCGGCATACGCAACACGTGTCCCAACAAACGCAGCTTCTGGTGCTGGACTCATTCTTCAATG